ATATATGGAACATCTTTTTGATAGATTTATATACCTTAAAATCTGTATCTTTTCATGACTTGGTCATTTTCCATCCTGGAAAATATGCACAATGTGTTGGTTTTGGAAAACATGAAAAACTGGAGAAAATGCACTGAGGTTCTTTATGGGCTTCTATTTCACATTGCATTAAAGTGACAACAAGTTTTCGACTTGTTTACTGAAAAAAATGAAACAAACTATGGAATAATAAGATAAAACGCATGTTACAAAATGTTGCTGTCCAATTTTAAACATCTGCACAGAATACAAAGAACTGTTGATAAGAAAGATGCAAAGTATTTATTTTGAAGTATTTAATATCTTAATAAAAACACATGCTGAGCATTTAGCCAAGAACTTTTAGAGCGCCTATGATAAGTTATAACCTATCAATTTTAATTATATCCTACAACTGAGCTCAGGAATCTTGTGTCATAAATTTTGCATTGCTTTATAAGGAGCATAACAGAATTTTGAGAAAGTAAGTTATGTTCACTTCTAAAATTACTTCTTTGTTCACTACATAGTATTTAATATTTTCCTTTGTACAGTTCTTAATAGTTCAGCTTTAAGTGAAACTCTGAAAAACAATGTTAGAATTTAAAATAAAGTGGAAGATTCTATTTTCAGGGTCACAAGTACCACAGCGAGATTTCTCTCTTAAACAATGACACTTAGTATCTCTGTAGTTCTATGAATACTTTTGAAGTGTCATATTAAAACCAATCTCTTGGCCTTCAGGCAAAGAGAAGCAATTAGTCTTGGAGTTGTGAATAAATAAAAATCCATTTATATACCCGTCCTTGACATGTACCTTGCAAATCTTAGAAACTTCATCTAGTGGGAAAAGAAATGTTAAATCATGAACACCAATACTAATCATATGGCAATGCTGCTTCCTAAAACTGTTTAGTTTGTATCAATCTTTTAAGTATTAATTCATATGTATATATTCATACATATTGAAATACAACAACAGAAGAACACTTGAATGAGAAGAAAGAAATGAGTGAGCGCACATAGAGCTATACTGCACACCTTTATTACCCTCAGCAGCAACACAGGCAAGACGAAAACTCAGAGCTCCCAAGTACATTGTCCTTTTCTAGACACCGTAAGAACAGCCCTTCACAAGTCACACGCCGCGTGCACATCTTCCTCGTCCCAAGCACTGCCGTGTGTCTTTGCTTTGATCCAAATACTCACAAACACACACAATCTTCGTTCGCCCTGCACGCCTTTGCCGTGTAGCACGACTAAATGGTGCCTTTCGCAGACGTGTTGGGATGAGTCAGAAACCAATTTCTGCTTTTTGTTCAGTGCAATATTTTTAGATCTTCTCTTTCTTCTTTACCGTGCTTTAACGCAGAAGCATCGTACTTCTGTGATGCTCTGATCGCTGCCCAAGATGATCATACTTATTTTTCACTTAGCAGCTAGTAATTCACAGAGGAAGTAAAAATTAAGTTGCCAAGCAGTCTGCCTGCACCCCAGCGAACGCGACCTGTTTAACCGGGGCCGCGTAATAGGCTGCTGAGCCTCAGTGGCGCTTGTCCTCCTTCTCCTCCACTTGTTGAGCAGCGCGGCCGGTGAGGGACGCTCGTCCAACGACCAGGCGAGGCAGCTGCCGGGCGACAGGCTTATGCTCGGGGGCCGGGGGGGGTTATTTTAGAAGAAAGCCCACCGTGCCGTGCGCTCCGCCTAGGCACTGCGGGCAGCCCCGGCCCGGGGGGCGGTGGAGCCGTGACCCCTGCGAGCCAACGTACCTGGGCCCATGGGATGGTCAAGGAAAACAAATCTGAGTCTGTTCTGGATGCAAATCTCTCAGCTGACCTAGTTCTCATTCTCCTTTTCATTTCAGAAGCTCAGCTAAAAATCCATAAATTAAGGAAATTAACTGATGGAGCCTCCGGCATCTTTGTAAGCTATTTAAATCTTTAAATTTACAACATCTTCTGCATATATCAAGTAATTGAACTAACTGCAGGGATGTAACTTTAATGAGAAAATTTCCCTCTTCTCCTGTAGTTTGTACTCTTAAAAAAAAAAAAAAAAAGAGCTACCCTTAGGAAAAAAAGTTTCGGTTTATTCCTAATAATGTACTATCTATCATCTATCATATCAATGTTCAAACTCATGCTGTGTAAGGTAATGAGGGATAGGGATGAGGAGGAATTTCCAAAGTCATGCAATATATGTTGGCTCTCAGATCCAAGGACGAGCAAATGGGTGTTGTGGCCTTAACTTCTGTTTACATCTTTGAAAATCAGTAGCTCTCTAATATAAAAGGCAGTAAGTAGCTGTTTCCTCTCCCATTGTGATTCTTTTTTTACAATTATCTCCAATCAGGAATATCATAGTATTAACTCTTTAACTTCTGTAATGTAAATTATCATCTTATTTAAAAAGATCATTAATCCATTACTATTTACTTTGAAAACTCAAAATCTTTTTTTAAATCTTAGTAGTTGTTAGCAGAAACACTGTATGATAACTCTTTACAACAGCTCTGTGAAGAACTCCAAGCATTTCCACATATGGGAAAGTTACAGCAGAAAGAATTCCTGTCAAGTATGTTTATTTTGTGTTCTTGTTCTAGTTTCTTGCTTTTAGCCTCCATTAAGGCCTTCTAATTTTCATTACATTTCCACTAGCTTTGATAAATCAGTTCAATATATAGATGTAAGTAGCTACTAAAGTAAATACAAATATACCAGTACTTTGCATTCTTGGATAGATTTCTCTTGAGTGAATATCCATTCAAAGACAAATGAAGAGTGAAGAATAATAAAGCAAATCCCTGTATGCAACATAGAGGCTTACATTCTGAGAAATCTAAGACTTGAATTTTGTTATATATTTATCAATTTCATAACAGAGGAGTCAAGAGATGTGAGAAACGTGCCCTGTGTTACTTATTTGGGAGCTGAAAATTTATGCCCCGTTGAAAATGCCTGGGGAAATATTACATCAGACCAAATGACAATGATTAAAATCAGCTTTCCCCCCCCGCTTCCCTCCCCCCTTTTTCCTCCTTCTTCTTTTCAGTCAGTCTGTTGAAGGACGTGACAGTGGCCTGATCCTCCCCAACACCGAACCGTTAT